GCAAGTAGGGTGGCTCAGCTTTCAAACTGCTACAGAATTTATTCATTGTGAAGAAATGGAGTTCTTATAGGTGTCTTTCACATGCAGTTTGGAGTCAATCATCAGCCTGAACAGGCTCTGGGGCATAGCTTAGAGTTAAAAAGAGAGGGAAAAAAATATCTGGCAGAAGTCCTGAGGACACTTGTCTTCTTCACCTAACCAGACACCAATAAAACATTCAGGATAAATCAGCAATTAACTAATTTCTGGACTCAGCTGGATGTGGACTAATGGATCAGTGCAAAGAGGCCAAGTAACCCAGGGAGATATTTAATTTTGTCTCAGCCAATTCTGTAGAGAAAGGCAGTGTAGCAGGCAGCAGCCACTCGTGGAGAGGATGGAGGTTGATTCTCAGGAGCCTGTAACTACAGTACTCTGTTTAACACACAAATTGGAAAATGGGATTGTAATCTGATGCATGGCACTTTGGAATAATTAGATGTGAGAAATTCAGTGTGCACAGCAGATGAAGCTGCCAAAAATGTAGGGAATGGGAGAACCAGAGAGGATTTCTACAGTCAAATTCTGATAGCCTGGAAAAATTGATCATGAAATTAACCACTACAGTAAAAATATAGTTAGCCAGAGAACAGTCTCCAATATGCCATAAATGCATAAATGTCTTGCCAAATTGAAGAGGAATGAACTGAGAGCACAAAGATTAGAGGTAAAACTATAAGCTATTTTTTTTTAAACGTGTGGACAACTGATAGTGAGATTTTTACTAGAAATAGTATCTATGAGGAGTGGGAGGAAAGGTTAGGGGTGGAAAATTGTCAGTGTAAGAAGCAAAAGTTGAGGAAGAAAGGAGCTAAATATTGCCCAACTAATTAACCTTGAATGGAGAAGGTGACATGGAAAAGTGCACAAAAAATGAGCAAACATTGGCTGGAAGCCGGACCACCACAATTCAAAACATAAAAAGACAGCATAAAAAATTGCCTGGACTTAGAGCAGATAATAACAACATGCTTGATAACAAAAAAGGGACTTCCAGGAACAGGTGGAAGAAGTGCACTTCAAATATGTCTCAAGAGAACCAGCTGACCAGTGGCAGCAGTCTGGCTGCTGTCTCCAGAAGGGATGAGCTGATTATTAGGCTGGGGGTGGTTCCCAGCAAGGCAAAGACAGGGCACAATTGAAACTTATTTTAAACCCAGAGACCCACTCTCTACTAAAACCATTGCAGAATGGCAGAAAAAACTATTCCATTCCACTCCCTGAATGTTTCTGACAATGTGCTAATACCAAAAGGAAGCATGCCAGCCAAAAGTGAGCCTCTGAGCCAGGGAATATAGTAAATGCTGGCACAGAATGAGGCAACACAGGTGGGAAGGCAAATCCCAAAACACTTCTGGGGCTTCTTCTGGAACGGCACTATATCCTTAATGTGGTGCAGCAGAATGTTTAAAGGGATTTTCTGGCTTGTCTTCCAGCCAGGTGATTGCTGTTGTCTAACTGAGGAATGACACAGGACCAAAACTCAGGTTGGATGGGACCTCAGGAGGTCTCCAGTCCAACCTCCTGCTCAAAGCAGGGTGAGCTATGAGGTCAAAAAGAGGTTACTCAGGGATTTGTCCAGTCTGGTCTTCTAATGGTGAAGCAAGAAAAGATGTTTCAGGCCACTGAGGAAATATATCAATAAACTATAATGCAACCTTGAACCTGTTCTTTGGCCTCCTTTTCAAATCAGATTAAACAAGAAATGAGAGGAATAGGTTTTGTTGACTCTCAAAAAGTGAAATTAGTTTATTTGTAAGGGTTTTTTCTTAATCATTAACATGAACAAAGCTATGTCCTGGGTGATCTAGTAGATTCAATCCCTTAATCTACTCTTACTTTTCAAAAACTCACAATTTTTTTCCCTCCCCACGTTTAAGACGTTTTGCTCACATAAAATCTGAGGTCAGTGTTTGAGCTATGGTCATTATCAAGTTGGACCAGCACTGGAGATCAGAGTCCTGCTGTCCCACAGTTGTATGTGGACATGACAAGATTGCAAGCAGGGCACTACTGGTCATGCCATCCCATGCAAACACCAGCAAAGAGCTGAGCTGTTCCATTTCCCACAGACACTGAGCTAAAGTATTTCCAATAGTGCTCTTTCCTCACTACTTTACATGGCAAACAAAGAGATTTACAGATAAACTAAAGGAAGATTCAGGCCATCAAAGACTGAAATTAAACCAGACACAAATCAGTTCAAAAGGATATTATTACTGTGTTCAGAGAATCAATTCATAAAATTCCCTCTCACAAAGGATATCTGGAACGAAGTACAACCAGCTATTTCCCCCTGCCCATTTATTTTGTGATTTCCCATGCTTATTGATCAGTACTTTTGTAGGGTTCTGCAATTCAAATAGAAGTTTTTCTTTCTTTCTCTCTCAGTCCCTCCTTGCAGGCTGGGAGGAAAACAGAATCATTTTAGAGACCAAATTGAGACCTTCAAGGATGTAAAAGTGCTCTTATGATTGTTCTTGCTCAAGCCTAACCATGTTTTAAAGTCCCTTTCATACAGAACCAAAATAACCTGACAAGGTGGTTATTTATTATAATAAGGGTCTTGAGTTCTGTGGTGTGAAATTATTGTGCCACCCAAAGGAATTCAAGGCAGTCATCAAATACTGAATATTTTCACCTATATTTATTTGGGAGGAAATCTGTGGTCAGGACTGGCCTTGCTTCCTATAATGGCTCTTTAGATTCAGACCTCAGCTAAGGTTTGGAAAAACTGTACTGCACAGATTTTGTAATTATACATAGATCAGCACACAAGTGAGCTAAAACTGATGCCTTGTCCAGAGGACCTCGCTGGGAAATGAATTGCAAACACCACTCTTTCTCAAGTGGAGAAAGTTTCTCAGTTTCTTTACTTTGAGAATTTGGAGCACTGATATCCCAAGTTCTTGGTATGTATCCTGCAAGTTGGGAGGACACAAACTTCACCAAGACTTGGTCAGCAACAATCCTCCAAAATTTTGCCAGCTTGCCTTTTGCCCTCCCAGCAGTGCACACAGAATGAGCCCTTGGACATGTGTGATAAAGTGGTGCTTTATTGCTTGGCCTTTTTACTTCTGTTAGCTGATTCTTTGGGAATTTAAAACCCTGAAGAAACTGTGACACAAGGAGAATAAAATATTAACTTTGCCTCTTGCATGACAACCTACACAAAGTGCATGTGTCTGGGGAACTGTGACTGACAGTCATTTGTGAAGGGCTGTGTTTGAAAATTTGTACGGTGACCTCTGCAGGTCTGGAGCTTCAGATTTGAACAGATGTCAATTCACACAAGTGGATTGAGGTTCTTTTTGTTCTTAAGCATGTTTTTGGGTGTTGTCAGGCTGAAGGGGCTTGAAAAAATACACCATCCATCTAATTGTAATGTATGCATCCTAAGAAAAATGCACAAGGTGAAAATCCGCTGGGAATGTACCAAAAATTATTATTTCCTCCATATGGTAGGAAGGTTAGCAATGAAGTGTTACAGAAACAGGGCTTAGTTAGTAGAGGCCTCCCAAAACCAGTAGATCTTCAAGAGGAGTGAAAGAGATGAGACAGAACATTTCACACTTATTCAATGCCACTGCAAACACAGAGGGCTTGAAAATAGCAAAAACCAGAAGGAAAGCTGTGCAAGCTGCTCTCTGCTGGAGAGGTGGGATCAGGACCCTGCTCACAGCACCTGGCACGGTGTCACAGCCATGCAGGCTGGATCCCCCTGCCAAAAAGCTGACCCCAGTTAATGTGCAGCAGGCTCTGACTTTGCTTACATGATCAATGCCAGTTTGGTAAGAATCAATTTTTAGAAACTACTGACTCACGTCAGCTGACAGGTTATGTATGATTAATAAGCAACATAAGAAAACAATGTTTAATAGTTTAATGGCTTTAAGTGCAAAGTAAAATTAATTAATTATGCAAATTAAAAATGCTGCAAAGTCTTTACAATCATACAGTTCTAGAATTTAAATTGTATTACTGTGATAATTTGATGTCTAATGCTGAAACATACTGAACAACTCTTAAAAGTTTTGTGCTTGACTTTTACTTCTGAATAATTAGTAGACTTCAAGGACAATTTCATATTCCACAAGCACAGAGACAGAATTTGTAAAACAGTAATGTTATGAAACAAATCTCATTTGAAGAATAAACTCTACAGAAAAACAAATTATTACTAAAAAATCCAAACATTGAAGTAAAAGCCTGAATCCTAAAAAGGATCAGGCTGAATCTTAAAATTTATCTAAACAATATTTATCATTGTATCAGTAATAAAAATTAAAAATTAGGCAAAACTGTAATACTTTGTCTAAAGTATGCTAAGGCTATGGTGCAAACTCAGTTTGAAATTAATTGGATGGACAACAATCTCCTTATTTTTAATACACTTAAGCTTCTAGTTTTGTTTACCTGTTTTGCTCCAAAATTCTAGACAAAAGTTAATTTCATTAACTCCTTTTCTAAGTCTGAGGAACGGGACAGTTAATATGTGATGAACACCAAGCAGTACATTCTACTCATAAAATACAAAATAAGCTGAACACAACAGTTAAGCATCTGACACAGTTCAAATACTGTCAGCTTATAAGTATTTCTACACTTCAGAAAATATTTAACATTAAAGTCTAAACATCTGTGTAACTCAAATATATTTGTGATGCTCCCAAAGGGTTAATAGTGTCTTGTTTCATTTCTTACATGTAGTAATTTAGCTGTGAACAAAAGCAGCTCCCTGCTGGATACCTTGGCTAAAGGAAACACAATGAACTGGTAAAAACCAGTTTTATCTCACTGCTGTTGCCTAGGGCTACAGACAAAATGAAGTAAAAAAATTCACATGCAGAGTATTAGGTGCTTATGAAAGATCCAGCAGCGCTGTTGCCTAGTGATTCAGTGAGGAATCAGCACAGGCCAATGAGGTGTTTGGGTACTGAATAACATCCCCAATGACTGCTTTACATCTCCTGCAATTCTGTCATACACCCCCATGATTTCCCAGTGGTGAGAATCACTTTCAAGGGAACCTGTCAGGGAAAAAAAATAAAAATTTAAACAAATAAACACATCACATACAGCAAGATTACTATTTTTTGCTTTTCCCTTTGGATGTGATACAGCTCCAGATTACATGCCTATCTAGTGTGGAATGTTCTTCATTTGTATTAATACTCAATTATTGCTACAATTCTGATAAAAATACCTTAACAATTTAAACTAACATTTAGTTTTCAAATTACAAATACATGTTACTGAATTGCAATGAATACACTAAAGCAAAATTCATCTCATGCTTTTAAAAGAGCTACAAATGATGGTTTTGATGTTTATCATCAGCAACTCCGTCAGCAATGCATAAAGACATGAGGGTTTTTTACCCCCCCCCCCCCCCCCCTCTTTCTTTTTTCCCCCCCCCCCGCCACTTTTCAAGTGCTGGGGTATTTTTATTGTTGCTTTGGTTTAATTTCAGTTTGTTTTGCAGTTCCTGGTGCTCTTGTACACAGTAGATTTGTTGACATGAAGGCTGCCTCATTAGCATGGACTATATTTTGGGAAAAAAAAGCTACTTCAAAGATAAAGCATCCTTCACCTCAAAGAAGAAAAAGAGATCTCTCCCCATTAAGACTATACGTGTGCTCTACTTTAGTGACATTTTGTCTCCATATTAAGAAATAATATTTATATTAAGGGAGCACATAATACATATTTAGTTGAAGTCTGCTGAAGGAGAGCAGGAGCATTTCACAAAAATCTTTTCATCTTCAACATCTCTAATCCTAAAAGACATTTTTCTACCGTATAGAAAGGTAAACAACATGAACAAAAAAACCAGCCTTTTTTTTTAAAGATCACTCTCAATTTCTTCTCTGAGATCAAACTTTATGTTTTCTATCTGGCCTCTGTCATTGATCTCTTTTTGAGGCTTCAGAGGAAGGTGAAGTATCTCCATGATGGATGCAGCCTAACGTGCTGCACGAGCAGAAGTATGTCAGGACTGCCACAGTCATTTGCTTAGGAAAAGGAGACCAAACAAAGGTAATGAAATATGTATCTCCAAATACTTCTACTGCCTACTAAAAAATCCTAATCTTTGAAAGCCCCAGATAAGTAGTCTAAGAATGTGTTTCTTTTCACCTACTAAGGCAGAGCTGGTGTTTAAAGGAAAATTACTGTTCTCATGGGAATGACACCTTGAAGCCACCTGCTTAATGCATTGAGAAGGATTTGTCAGTGTGTGACAGTAAAACACCTCAGACAGAGGTGAATAACAAGGGATGTCCCATTTGTTCACAGGACATTGAAACCTTCTGCCACTTAATGGTTAGTCTGAAAAATGTAACACTAAAATGATATTCTACCCCTGCAACTAGGAACACCCTCAGTAACCATGTCAACATTTGTCTTTCTTAGAAACCTGTTACAGTGCTTATATTTATTTCATGACCATGACTTCCTCAGAGAAAGTATGAATGCTGTTACCTATGAAAAAACACCAAAAAGTCTCCTTAAACTTCTCCTATGCAGAAAGGACTCTAGTGTTGCTATTCACTTTATATGCCACCAATAATACCATATTTGATTATTTTTAAGAACCTTATAGGAGCATGAATGCCAGGCAAGTAATACAGTAATTAAAAATATTTAAATGTAATATACCTTGGAAAACACTCTGGCTTCTTTTTTTTTTTTGCCCCCAAGGAGTTTGTAACAAAAGAAGAAAGGCAAACACAGGTGTACAATGTAAGCAACCTACAGAAATGCAGTTTGCAAAGATTGGGAGTATCAGTGCAAGAGATTTATCATCCCAGTGTGGCCAAAAAGTCTCACTGGACCATATTTAGCAAACAGGAATGTAAAATCTTACAAAGGTTAAGTGAACAGTGAGGGGGGAAATCAGTAAGAGTAATTTAGATCTTGGATACCCTTCATTATCCTTTCTCAATTTTTGTGGTAAGGATGGGTTCCCTAAGGACACATAAAGGGTTTTATAACTGTAAGACCTCCAAAGAAAGTCTCACAAAGTGGCTGGAATTCTGCAATAGATACAGAAGATCTGCAGGAAGAAATACAAGACAAATTATCAAGTAGTTTTCTTTTTCAACTGTTTCCATTAGTGCAAGTCTGTATGTTGCAACCATTTCTGAACTAATTAGAATAAAGCTGTTTCTGTCCCTGAATCTTGATGAGTATTGCTGCTGAGTGAGTGACCTGGCAGCACCAAGTACTCCATTTGTCAGGACACTGGAAACCCTTGGGCTGTTGCTCACTGAAGTTTAGGGATTCCCAGGAGCTTCAGTCTTTTACCAGGCAACAAAAGCTGAGCAGTAGGCTACAGTGACAGGTACCAGTTTTGAAGAGAGAAAAACATAATTATTTTCTAATGTAATTACAATTAGGTCCAACACATAGATATCTGTGTAGTTACCTCCTCACTTTGTACAGATGTTGCTGTGGTAGATGATGTTCTCTATCTTTAGCAATGACCAGTGATTTTGTTTGCTTTGTGTGTTAGGCATCCCCACAAAAATGTTAAATAGACCCATTTTCTAAGTGAAAATTACTGAAGAAAGATCTTTTGCAATATTTTTTTCTGCAGTAACAAATGCCTGGCACATGTAGAAAGCCAGGCACATATTAAAGGGACATATTTCTCACTCTACCACACCTAACAGAAGTTTCATGGCAAAGAACAAAATAGATTTTTAAATTACCACATGCATTGCTACAACAATCTCACTTTCCAAAAGGGAGTATACTTTCAGTTATTTTCCTTTGGAACTTTTATAGTAATTTGAAAAAGCAATTACTGCAAATACGAAAATGAAATGATTGAAGTAAAAAGCAAAATAGTTGTTTCTAGAGTCTTAATATAATAATGATGATGACGTACAAAGCTAAGCATGCCTGAGAAAGAAATGGAAATTCAAAATTGTCCCTACCTTCAGTGGCACTTCCAAGGCTGTGGTTTGCTGCAGGGACTCCATTATTCTTTTTACCAGTGCTATAAGGTAAATTTGAAAACCTACAGCTTTATTTTCCACGTTAGAATTTTTTTTAATATATATATATAATATTGTGTTACATCATATCTGAACTTCTGTATAAAATTACCACTTACAACTTTTTCCGATTATTTTAAAGTTATATTTTATATCTTGTGAACAGTTTAATTTCTTTTTTTATTGAATTTCAGGATAAAATTTAGAGAATTATTTAATTTATATATCCCATATATAAAGAAGTATAGCACCACTACATTTCATATAAAGGTATGTTAGAGCATGTGTGAGTTCTCAGTTTTCAACTTCACTACTCATAACTGCCTGTTTGATGACATTTTATATATTTTAATTTTCTTGTGCAACTATAAAACTCACTTTAAAAAAGAAGCTAGAAAAAAAGCCCACAAGAATCTGTATTTTAAAAAATATTTTACTCTTCAAAGTAAAAAGATCAGAACCAATTTTTTTTTTTTTTTTAAATCATCCCTGTGGCATAGTAGAGCTATCAGGACTTGAAACAATTAAACTTCAGTATAATTCATGTAACTTAACAACTCATCATGCCATAACACTACGCTCACTATTACTGTGCAAATGCATCTATAATTATTCCAAAACAATTATCTGGGATCAGACTTGCCATCACTGGTCTTGCTAATTAGTGTTTTGCTTGACAAGGATTGCTGCTTCAACACATACTGTTCAATAAAAATCAAGGAGAGGATCAACATCTTTTTAAATGGAAGATATTTTTGGCTAGTGGAAGTGAAGCAGGAGTACCAGGTGGCCCCAGAACCTGCACTGCTCTGACAGGATGGGTGACTAACTAGTGGATGTGGCCATGTGCCTCACAGGCCTGAGAAGGAGCAGGGTCTGTGATACGAGCTGGAAATGCCACAGCAAACCCACAGGATTCCTGAGCAGCTTCCTTTGAAGTCACCCCTCGCTGCACATCACAGCTCTTTGGCAGCTGAGGTTGGAGGCAAGGGAGTGACAGGAACTCTAAGAAGCTGTGGATGTTGTTGCTCTGGCTGCTGCCAAAACCTTTTCTAATGATGCCAGCAATGAAGAAGAGTCTGTAATGTTTCATGTCGTGTCACTGACACCGAGGCTGGATTGATAATAATGATGAGGATAACCAGCCTCTGCCTGAGCAGTGCTCAGACCGTGCTGCCTCACTCAATTTGTGTGCTAATGAGCTGTCATATGCTTTTCCATGAAGTCCAAACTATGCAGTAACTCAAAGTATCAGCAGATCAAGTGCCAGAGCTGAGGAAACCAAGACATTTGACACATCTCTGTACAGCTACACCTGCAAACTTTCTTCATGTTAGATTTGAGGTAGTTCATGGTCCACCTTGGGACAGAGCAACATTTTTTGAGCGCAGAAAGAAACATTGCAATCCACAGATTGTGAAAGGAGAAGTGCTGGCCTAAATAATTACTCATTTGTAATTCTGTCCAAGTCAACATGGCTATTAATAGAGGAGTGTTGGACTGCCTCTGTCTTGAGAAGCCCACTCTGAATTTCAACAAGCTGTCAGCTCCAGGAGGTCAGCAATGCAGCAGATGCTGGGGCACCCCAGCCAGGTGGGATGCCTTCAGAAGGCTCAGTGTGTTACCAGTCAGTCCTGGGTAAACATTTTTTCCAAGTTATGACTACACAAAACTTTTGAGAGGATAACACCTGAATTCTGCACTTTTATGCAGAATCACTCAGCCCTGTGTGTCCCACCAGACACTTATGAAGGGCACACTCAACTCTGTTCAGCTTAACATTTCTTGTGTTGTTAGATAAATAAACAGCAGTAGAGCATTTGGGCAAGGAGAGGAATAGGTCTTCTTGACAAAATGAGTTCCAACAGACAGTAAATGATGGAGCATGAGTCAGCAGCATCCCTTCCTGGGCTGAAATAAGTGAGTGATATGACAAAGGCTGCTTCCTGCCTGTGCACTGAGTTAGACCTGTTTTCCCCAAGTTCTCTAGACCTCTGAATTGACTAGTTCTGTCCCATTTAGCTGTTATCCCCAAAAGGGGATTCACGATGGCAGCAATGACTGCAGCAGCTTTCTCTGTTGGTTCACACATTTTCGCTCTAAGGCATCTGGCACAATCAGAATTCTGCTGCATTCTTAAATACTCTTAATTTTAAAATGCACAGATTAAAGTGGCCACATCAGTGAACAAACCCAATGGTTCCTCATTCACTTTGACAACCATTAAAAACCTCTCCATGGTATTGCTTCATTTTCTTCCTTCCTTTTTTTCTGTCAGTTCAGCTCCCTGTTCTCTTTCTCATGTCACACTGACTTTTCTCTACCCAGAGTTTAGTAAAGCCATTCATTTCAAGCAATCTGAAGTTGTTGTGCCTGCATTTCAGCCTTTTGAAACCACTCCTTTGCAAATATCAGGAAAAAGCAGCTGGATTGCCATTCCTGTTCAGTGGTCTGCTAAGACTGTAAACAGTGAAGGACAAATTTAAATACATTACAGTCTTTGCACAAAAATAAATAGGTATAGTGGCTGAATACATTTAGGCTGGAAATTTAAAGTTCCAGATTTTGGAGAGACAGAATTCTGGAATAGTCCTTAGTGGGAGTAATTTTTCATATGAAGATGATAATTTATAAAAGAGACCATATGGCATGGGGGTATGTAATCACAGGAGAAGTTCCCTTTAGTCCCGTGTACATAATATCTGATTCTCCCACTATTTTATCAAATCTCCTTGAAAATTTCCCTCTTTCTCAAGGCTCACAATAAATAATCAGACATACACAACTATATCTTCATTATCTCCTGTACAGTTTAGAATGTAGTCACTTAAAAACAGAATCACAGTGTCTAAATAAATCTGTCTCTACCACTCTTAATTTTTTGCTTCTTTTCTAAGATTTAGACTAGAGACTTTGGGGATAATGATTATTTCTGTTCTGTCAAGAATCTAGTATATCTGGGGCATATAAATTATTAATTTTAAAATGTTCCTTTACAGCCAGCCATGTACTGCAATGGCATCTGTAAAATGCTGTTCTCCCCATCTTTGCAAGTTATCTCTCAAAACCCATAGTCAGCAATTAGGAGAACTGTTGATTATGCTCATCTTGAAATGCTTTGCAAGTGCTAAGTATGCATGCTAAAATACTATGTATAAAAAAAATGGTGACAGCAAAGTTAAAAGATTATAGAGGAACTGAAATTTTAACATATGTTTAAACATATATTAGATTTTCTTGATACTGACCAGAATAAATATGCTTCTTGAAAGTGCTGTGAATAGGAACAAAGATAAGACACGCATGCCTGCTGTGGAACAAAAGCTTATTTGTCCCTATCAAACTGAAGACATTTTTCAAGTGCACTCACCTATGAAATTATGACTCCAGAAACATGTCAAAGCTGGCCAGACATATGATCTATGGAACAGGGATTTTTGCAAATTGAAAGCTATCTAGAGGCACCTTTAGTTTACGCACCAGTGTTTTTCAAGTTAGAAAAAGGCAGCTCAGAGGACAGAAAATGTCACTAACTTGTGATGACCAGTTTATTCTTTTGTTCTTCTGTCACTGCAGTCCCCTTTTGAACATGTGCATATTTTAATGCAGCTACCTCAGTAACAAGCATAAAATTGTAGCAGAATAAAATGAAATTTCATGTAATCTGTGTGTGAGCCAAAAATGCATACTGGCAGATGTTAAAACAAAATCTAAGATACTATTCTTTGGGTAAGTGATCTTAATACCAACATAAATAGGTTTAATTTATATTGTTTGTTGTTTTGGGGGTTTTTTTTGGTTGTGTTTTTGTTATTTGGTTTTGGTTTTTGGGGTTTGTTTGTTTTAACTGGTCATTTCAGTGTTCTTAAATTTAAGGTAAGTACTTCAGCTGAACTATTTTATACCTGGTAAAGTATTAGAAAAAATTGTTTCAAACTCTACATTGTACATGTATCAAAAATACAAACAGATGCAGAAATTCTTTAATTCTATCAATAGTGTATAATTATAAATGAATTCTTAAAAAAAGCACCTTTAAAAATTACTCTAATGCACTGTGATATTGAACACAAAGCACTGGAATACATCTATTTCTACAAAAAGATGTTATTTCAAGTACCAAGTATCTTTCATTTAATTATCACTAATGGATGCAATCAAGCAGAGAGAAAGGCATAGGAGAAGCCACAGTAATTGCCACTGGCAAAGTTCACCTTTCAAACTCACCAGCTATTTATGGAACACACATTAGAAGCCAGATTCTACAGTTGTAACTACAGGTATCCCCGTACAGTAAAAAAAAAAAATAAAAAAAATTTGTTTTTCTTCCCCACAGAGTGTGTTCCCCCTTTTAGCTGTAATGCATTCAGCATAGTCCAAGGCCAAAGGGGCAGTTCAAACACAGTATAGAGCACAGTGTCACAAACAGCCCCCACAAAATGAAAAATGGAGTTCTGCCATTCCTAAATACTCTTCCAGAGTCTCTACACAGACTCACAGTCTGATCTGGGGACAGGCTGCCTACCTGATTACACAGATTTCAGGACTCAGAGGCACTGAGCCTTCTCAGATCCAAGAACCCAGTTTTTGGCATTCCCATAATATCATCATCTGCCTCTCTGCTTCCTGGGCTGCTGGAGAGCTCAAGATGTGAGGAAGCCAGACAGGCAAGCTGGCCAGAAACCAGGCAGATTATTGATGGTAAAGCTGAGAGACTTCTGCCCAAGCAAAACGAATTCCTGCCAAATGTTTTGGTTTGAACTTCCCAAGCACCCTCTAATAGGAAATTAGGATTTTAAAAAGCTCTTTTGCTGTCATGTTTTTGCCCTAAACAGAGAATTGAAGGAATTGATATGCCATATCTTTGATGAAAATTGTACCATTCAGAGCAGTATGTGCTTCATTGTATTTCAAAGTATGTCAAAGCATGGGCACTCAAAACCTTATTATAAATAAATTATATTCTGCCTTGTCCATTCAGAGGGAGCCATATGTGTACTATAAAACTGTGGGCAATGGATTCTTTTTGAAGAAGATATTCTTCCAAAATACAGATGAGACCTTGAGATGACCCACCTCAGGCAATACTTTGTGCAGAAGGAGATCAGAAAAAAAAGAACACTTCTTTGCTTGTTTGCTTGTCCTCTTGTTTATCAGATTCAAAAGGTTCCAAATCATCTATGCACTATTAGATGCATTATAAATGGTATTTCTGTATATTGTAAAGTCCTTAAAATTCTTAGTGGAGCATATGAAGTCCTACACAAGACTAAAGAAAGTGCCAATACTACAATTCCTTGTGGCAATTTTCAGCTGCCATTCAAGAGAGTCTAAGAAGCAAAAGGACATTTTAATATTGTGAAGCAATTCAAAAGAGACTCTTCCATCAGGGAAATGCTGCTGAGAAGAATTATATTCTGCATTATGATCTAATGAAATACTACTATTTATCTTTATGTTCTTAATTTATAAATCTTAAAAATCTTTTTAAATTAATGTTCATTCTACAAACAAGAAAAAGGGGACATATATTTGTTGTTGCTTTCCTGAAAAAGTAGATCAGAAGCATGACTGGAATCAGAATGCAAACATGCTGAATAGTAGGCCAGTACTTCTTGGATCACATTAAATGCAGGAGAATAACACGGCACTGAAGTGTAATCCATTAAAACCCTCAAACACTGCTCTTTAGCTTCAAGTCCACGTCTTTCCCTTTACTGAGCTTTGTGACTGTACAACTGAGATATCTCTCTGGATCATTAAACTGCAGGCTGGAAACTGCAAGTCAGCAGATTCTGTAATTTAAAGTTTCTGAATGGACAAAAGCTCATTAGATATGTAAAGGCAAAGCTGACAGCTAAAGAATATTGGCAAATAAGAGCAAAAAGAGTAAGGATTTTAAAAAAGGGTGAGAGAACTTTAGGTAAAGAGATGAAAACTGTATTTGGACCTTCAAAGTCCTTAAGTGAATTAGGAGCACACATCCTACTGACTCCTCTTTGGTTTAACGCTCAGATATCTAATGTTACCTTACTTAGCAGCTCCTGAAATAATTGGAAAATATTAGGAGAAAAGAGTGTTCCTATTTAGGTTCATCTGAAAGGAATCTAGGTCAACTGTTCTCAGGCTGCTGTGTGATGTGAACTGAAACCATTCACACCATGGACAGGGACAATGGGGAGATGTGCTTCAGCACTCCTGCTGACTGAAGTGAGATGCCTGTGCTGATACACACTTTCTCTGCCTATTCAGATCAAACAAAATCCTCATTAATGACTGAAGCATCGCCAACTTTGGAGCCTTTTAAGACACCTTGGATTAGTTCTTCTACCAGGAGCAGAACTACTTGCAGAACACAGTCAGGGAGGTTGAAAGGAAGCTTTGGAGGTTACCTGGTCCAGCCCTGCTGCTCAGAGGGGCCACCTCGAGCTGGTTGCTCAGGACCTTGTGCAGACGGATTTTTTACATCTCCAAGGATGGAGACTCCACAACCTTTCAGGGCAACTTGTGCCTGAGAGTAAACAGTGTTCCCTGATCTTCAGAGGGAACCATTTGTGTTTCAGTTTTCTGGTCCTGTCACTGAGCACCAGCACTTGCTCTGTGCCCACTCCCTTAGAATATAGTTTAGTAGGATTCCCTGAGCCTTCTCTTCTCCAGGCTGAACAGTCCCAGGTCTCTCAGCCTGCCTTCATAGAACAGATGCTACAGTCCCTTCATCACCTTTGTCACCCTTTGTTGCACTTGCTTCAGCTGTAATGCAGAATTTTCTTTTTTTCTTTGACTCTTAGGGCAAAGTAGAAACAAATTGAAAACTCCATCTTCAAAACTTCCATCTTGAACACTCAAGTTTGGCAGCCTATGCTAAGTGCAATGACAATTTCCAAGGTATCTCACACCTCTAGAATACCCAGGTCCATTTTCTAAAGGTCATCTTAGCAACTTCAATTATAGGATTATAATTTTGAGGCACAAGAAGGAATTTACAGGTATGTTTGTTCTGCACCCTGCAGCTAGACCTGGAGATCAGCAAACTAATTACTGCACAGTGCACACTCTAAACTTGAGTATTTCAACTGCACTCTTTTTGCATTTTCAGAAAAAAGCCTCCAGTCATCATGTTTCCATAGTGGGATAATGTATTACTATTATTCATATGATAGCTAGAGGTTTTTTCTGTTATACTCGAAAAGTATTGATTTTTCTGAATTTGTTACAAATTCAGACTGGTAATGGAGATCTAAATTTGACCCAGTGGGGGCAGAATCTAAGATTTTCTATATGTATAATCAACCATGAATCATTTTTATCTTTTGGGTATAATATTAGCTCTATACTTTATGGAAATTGATGCAAAATAAGATAATAAAAATCCTACTATGCTGTCCTACAGATGTCTTTCAATACACTATACTTCCTAACTCTGAAACTCTGATTATGTCACTTTTAGACATTACCTTTTCTGAACAGATATTGCAATCTTCTATAAATTGTCTAATGGTTTTTTTAACTTTAAATTAGATTTTAACTCCTGTATTTAGAGGTGAAATGCTAATATATTACAATGCCCTGAATATACTGAGCTGAAGTATTTCCCAGGTACTTTGTTTAGATTAGATAGAGTTTTAATGCTCTCATTTTGAACTAATATTCACAAGAGGGATCAGTGATGAAATGAGACTAATATAGCAAATTGCATCGTTCAAATGAATGCAGCATGAGAAGGTAAAATTAATTTTTTATTAAATGCTTGTTCTATTTCTTGTATTGGTTCATTTAAAACATTTGTGACATTTTGCTAATGGGTTTAGCCAAACATATTGTTGAGCTTCAAACTAGACCAACGTTTGTGAATAAACACTTGGTTCATACAGGAATAAATCCACAATTTACTAATAAATTTACAATTTAGAGACCCAACAGTCTGCTATGTGCCCTTGCTTGCTTGCTAAATTTGTACCAGATGCTGAGACAAGCTCTGGCTTAGGGAATAATGTCTGGAAGTAAGCCAGATGAGAGGATAGAAACATAGGCATGAACTTTTACTAACCTTAATCTTTAGTGCCATCATAAAGGTTTCTTAATATAAAAAAGCAGTAAACTAACTTAGAAATTACTTAGAAATGGTATAATCTTACATGAAGAATGGAATACTTTATGTAACAGCCCTTAATCTAAAGTACTTCAAAGTGGTTTATTTCCTTCTAAAATCTTGGAGGAAATATTATTTACTTTTATAGGATTCACACACTGGATGATGAAATATTGATTAGAAAACTAAATACAAATAACCATGCTAATGAATTCCAAATGAGCATATAACATTTTATCTACATAAGAGCCAGTGGTGGAAAACATTCAGAAAAATCTGCTTAGTACACATTTTCTTAATTGTGAGAATCAATGTGCTTCTTCTCACTACTTTAGTTCTTTATTCTCTGAGAAATCACAGGATATAGAGAGTAAAAACGGGTGGGAGGAAAAGAGCAAGAGAGATTGTATTTACCTGAGAATTCCTGGATTTGAGAATCTTCTACTTCGAACAACAATTCATCATGGATCTGGGCAATTAACCTGAAAAATTTCAGAGACATAGATAATATATGTAAAAATACTTTAACAGTGCTTTCCATTCATGGATAAGTTAAAGTGAAAATAAACATCCAAAGAAAATTTAAAAATCATTAATGGACTTAAGAACTGCCTCTCCCTATATTCTGGAAACATGAAGGCCATGGTTGTAAACCCAAATTGTGCTTGCCAGCTTAAAAATGTCATTCAGGGATTTGATGCCACGACAAGATATTACTTAAAAGCAACATAATTTGCAGAAAAATGCAAGAAATTATGGAGACAGACTATGTTTTGTTAATACAGCTTCTTTTTTTGAATTGGATATAAAGAAGAAGTTCTTCCTCATGACAGTGGTGAGGCTCTAGAGTTGCTTGCTCAGAGAAGTTGTGGCTGCCCCGTCCCTGGCAGTGCTCAAGGCCAGGCTGGATGGGGCTTGGAGCAGCCTGGCCTGGGGAAGGTGTCCCTGCCCATGGCAGGGGGTTGAACAAGGTGGTCTTTATGGTCCCTTCCAATCCAAACCATGCTGTGATTCCATTATTTAAATTAAATGTCACTTGTAGACTTTTCTTAATACCTTTTCTTAATAATAGCAGTTATTCAAGTAAATAATTCTTTACAAATGGCTGAAACATCAATATGGTTATGACTTATAACTTTTCACAGCTTCTTAAGATAGTTTCACACTGCCTTAAATTACAGTGTGACATTGACTAACAGTGTGGTGAGCTCTAATAATAGATCTTAAATTATTAGTCACTTACAACACAGTCAGAAGCAGAATGAAACAGATTAACATATTTTTAACAGGAAATTAGGACACAGGACACAAAGAAAAAATAGATGAAAAGATCAGGATCATCTATAGCAAGAGAACACAGTTACATGAAAAGTTGTAATTTCTAATTCAAGTAAATTAATTAAAGCAAGAGTATCCTGATAACCATTGAAATGACAGGCAAAAGGTACAAATCAGAACAGTGAATATTAAAGATGAATAAACAGTCAATCAATGGAATAAGTGAAAATAATTGCATTTATTAAACCAGTGCAATAAAAACACAATAGATTATTGCTTGTTTCAGAATAGTGTCTCATGCCTTCAGTCAGGATTAAAGCACCATATATTCTGAATATTTGGTAAGGAAAAGTCCTTTCTTAGAAGAACTTGCAATATATATAAAAACTTCATCCTAAATTTATCAGGATTTAGGAATGAAAGAATAGGATTTTCAAAACCTCTCAGCATTGTAACAACTGATCACCTCACCTCTATGCTGAAATAAAACAGGAGGAGCAGGTTTGGACTAGAATTAAGTTCTACCTGATGTATGTCCAAAAACCTGTGGAAGCAATGTAAATTAACTGAAATTTTCTTGCTGGACAGCAAAATGGATTTGATACAACTCTAGATGCTCCAGTTCACCCACTGAGTGCAGCCCAGCTCCTTTGGCTCTCCATTATGGCTAAAGGACATTTCTGTTTCTCATCCACATCATCCTGAACACCACAGCCCATCAGCCCAGCTGCACTGCCAGTGAACTCAGGAGCTGCACGGAGCTGCAGAGTTGCATCTGCCCCATCTCACACATCTAGTGATTAATTTGAAGTTCAGGACCATGTTCTGTTTGCCAAATACAGAACTAAAAGTTGGCATTGCTGGCTCTCTGTCTAGCTCTGCTGCTCTCCTAACCAATGCCTTCAATTAGAAAATGGGAATAATATTTCTGAGATCTCAGAAATGAGTATTTCTAATACACTTCTATTTGCAAATGAAAGATATTACAGAAAATTTAATTAACACTAAATGTGATTTCCTAGACTGATGCCAATAATGAAACAGTATACCCTATTTCCTCCTTAATCTTCATCAAACAAGACAGATATTTTTTGATGATGTTTTATCTCTTTTTCTTACATGTTTCACAGAAAATAATGAGTTCTGGTCTTACAGTACAAGGCCACCTGCATTTTTTCAAGCTTGCTTAAGTAATAACACTTGCATGCAATGTGCTGTTCCACAGAAGGAAGGATTCAATTTGACATCAATAAAGATGAAAGAAAAGAAAATCAAAGCAATTTGTACATTCAAAATTTACAGTTTTCACCATTCCCCTGCATGCACCCACCTAGTCATTACATAGCCTGAGTGAAAGAAGTTTGAAAAAGCCCCTCTACCTTTGCTTAATAGCTTAATTGAATCCTCTTCACTTTGAAGGAATATTGCAATAGCAAGCTCCTCTCATTATCCTGTGCTAAAAGGTATGGGCAACTGGATCAGAAAGTGCAAACCAGGCAGACACTAGTATATTTTTATTTCTACAGATGTTAAGAATGCCTTTGATTTAGAAACTAGTATTTTATTAACTATGTTCTTGCCTGACTAGAAATTAGGCATCACTTTTGATGAGTGCACATATGATTTCCTTTACTGAGAAACATGACTTGCATCTGAGCATGCCAATGGTGTGGAACTAGAAATAGTGCTACAGCCTGACCCTTCAAATGCAGAAATATTTCTGTGACTGCCAGTCTGAACATGGCTTTTGACACCACTTTTGTATGCCCAGACATCTTAAACTATTATGCTGCACTATAGAATTTTAAAAATAAAGTATTTTTAATTTTCTTAACATTACATTGATCATTCCTCCAGTTTCCTATAAAGCAACACAGAGACTAAATTCTCAGGCCTCCAATGGATCCACCCAGCTATTACTACTGTATCATAATCATATTAATGAGTTACATATGCCAAAACTAATTAAACTGTTCTCAATAGATCTTTTCATAATATTCTATTTATGAAGTCATATTGTTAGAGTATATCATTCCATAGTACCAGGCCAGTTGTCTAATAAAAGAACTAATGAGGATTTTGTTTGTTGATGGAAATCAATATATTCCAGGTCTGGACTCCTCTGTTCTAAAGTACAGAATTGCAAGGTTTCCCATGACTACTTCAAACACCTAGAAATAATTACACTATTGAAGTGACCTCAACAAAACAGCTTATTAGTGAGCAATTGTATTTTTCTTTATCATTAAAGGAAACAGCTTTCTGTCTAAACTCAAAAGAAGAGCACTGTGGCATGACATGCTTCAGGCTCCAGGGTAGGAGAGGGGAAAAAAGAAAGACAAGATTGTCATAGCAGTCTTCATCAGAAGGAGGTTTTTAACAGTGACATGCAGAGCTTCCGGATGTTAATCTCTTGTTAATGTGCCAAGAGATGCTCAAACTAATTAAATTCATGCTTCTTCTACAGACAAGGGACTGAGGCTGGTTCTGACCTAGATGTTCTGAACTCACACTTGGCAAACCCCAGCCCTGTGTGGTGGCTTTGTGGCAGTGCCACCTCCCAAAACAGCTATCTGAAGTTAGACACAGATTAACCCTCTGTACATTTTTGTGATGTATTTTTTGCATCACCAGGGAAATTATTGCTGCTGTTAACAACACATCCAAAGCATAACATGGTTTAGCTTTTTTTCCAGATTGGTCCGTAGAAAGATAACATAAAATATAAACCACCAACACTTTAGTGGTGGACTTGGCAGTGCCAGGTTAACAGCTGGACTCAATGACCTTAGAGGTGTTTTCCAGCCTAACTGATTCGGTGATTTTCTATTACATTGAGCTGTCCGATTTACGAATTTGAACAGAAAATAAATTAAAATAAGGTTCAAAACTGGACAACAGGAAAAGCTTTAAAAAAGAGGGTTTGATCATCATGCATAACATAGCAGGACTCAATGATCTTAAAGGTCTTTTCCAACAAAACAGAGGTTATAATTCTGTAAGGAATCGAGGGCACCTCATTCTGACCAAGAGCCAAGCTGAGAGCCTGGACTAAAGTTTAAGATGGCTCCTGCTGGACACTCCTACATCTTCAGAAAAAAAGTGGTGCAAGACAAGGTCACAGGTCTGATTCTGAACTAGAGCACTCCAGTGTAAAATTTCCACAAGAAATGACATATTTTATTTCTAACTTGAAGATATTCTGAAAATTAAATCACATTTGAACAAGTGATTTCCTAAAACAAAAAGATTGTCTTTGGAGAAGGAGAGAAGAAGATTAATTATTCGATATTCATCATAACTTAATGGTTGGAGTAAAAAATTCTAGTGAAGAAAAACCTATAATACATCTTGAGAATTTAAAACAATGTTAGTAGTTAAGGATTTATATAAGAACAATAAAAATATAAACATTGAAGAGTTACTAAAAGTACACCACTTTAAATAGGGCATTAATGATCACTTAGTAGCATAAAAACTTTAAAATACTTGTTTAAAATATTCTCTAAAATACTTTCTAAAATATTTTTAAATATTTCTCATTTGCTATTCTCACAAGGTTTTCATCTTATTTAAAAAAGCACTACGTTTCTGACCAGTGAAATGAAGGTCATACAAAGTATCAGATTTTATATCCTAAATATTAATATCCTTGTCTCTCATCCTATGTTCTTCCCCTTTTTTGATATAAGCAAATCAATCAATAAAATAATAATCCAACTAGTAACACCACATTTTTTGTTTTGAATTTGAAACCTATAAATGCCTAATGGGAGACTTCAAAATGGCAGATATGGGAGTACACAGTTAAAAGCTATGTGTAAAAAGTTTAAAAATAAACCCAAAAAGCATAAAAACTGTTAAGTGTTTAGGAAAAAAAAAAAAAGATAAAAACAGTAAGGTATTTTTAAATCAGACAAATGGGGGAATATGGAAAAAAGACAAAACCCGATCCATCAAAACCAAATAACAAATGGAAATATGTTTCATGTTTTTTAAATGAAAAGAATTTAATCACTTGAAAAATTGACACTTAATAAAATAATATTTAATTCATTTGCATGAAAATAATAAAAGAAATATTAATAAAATAATAAAATAATATTTAATAAAATAAAAATTATTTTATTACTTAAAAGGCGCACAATGAAATACTTTGCTAGAAAAAGCTAGAATGGCTGCTCATGTAACAAACACATGGATT